ATTTGAACTTTCCAATTGATCTGTCATATTTGTAACTATTGCGATTTCCTATAATTTACAGTCAAAGTTAAAAACGATTTCTAGTCGGAAGCCTCCAAAAATCGAGTGTCTTCACAGAATATCAATTTATTAAATAACTATATACGATACAATTAAGAATGTGTAAGCAAATTAAATATTTGAGCTTTCAAATTTGTGATCAATCATATTTGTAACTATTGGCGTTTTCCTAAAATGTACAGTCAAAGTTGAAAAAACTATTTTATAAGCCTCCAAAAATCGAGTGTCTTCACAGAATATCAATTTATTCAATAACTATATACGATACAATTAAGAATGAGTAAGCAAATTAAAGCTAAATATTTGACCTTTCAAATTTGTGATCAATCATATTTGTAACTATTGGCGTTTTCCTAAAATTTACAGTCAAATTTGAAAAAACGATTTTATAAGTTTCGAAAAATCAAGTGTCTTCAAATAATATCAATTTATTCAATAACTATATACGATACAATTAGAAATGAGCAACCAAATTAAAGCTATATATTTGAGCTTTGCAAAGTGTCATCAATCATATTTGTAACTATTGGCGTTTTCCTAGAAGCTACAGTCAAAGTTGAAAAAACGATTTTATAAGCCTCGAAAAATCGAATGTCTTTACAAAATATCAATTTACTCAATAACTATATGCAATACAATAAAGAATGAGCAATCAAATTAAAGCTAAATAACTGAACTTTCCAATGTGTGATTTGTTACTATTTGCAATTTCCTATAATTTACAGTCAAAGTTGAAAAAACGATTTTATAAAATGTTAAATATATATATAATTATATTATGAAAAAAATATATCAATTAGTAAACAAGAGCTACAGATTAATATGCGACTTTTATGTTGATCTTTTTTTCACTTTTTCTCTTTCACTATATACTTCCTTTCTATCGTTTGTATTCGGTTTATAAATCAATTCGGCAATTAATCAAAATCGAAAGTACGGTCGTTCTCCTTAATGATTAATGGGATTTCACTTAAAGTATAATTAATGTCCTCGCAGAAGCAAATGAATGCCAAATATATAAATCGTTATTCGCGTGGGACGAAGAATGTTTTTATGTTCCATCAGATTAATGCGTCGTCATTTACCCTCTGTTTTTCTTTCATTTCTGCGTGTTTTTCCCATTCGTTCTTAATTTGTCCAGCTGCTCTCGATTTCAGAAAACAAATCAATAATATGCGTGTATTGGGAGAGAGAGAGAGTGCGAGAGAGTAAATGCGGGTTGGGGAAAATTAGATTTGCATTAGATCGATAGGACGTCGGACCGCAGCATTAATCAAACCGAGGACCTTTCGGTAATGGCTATGATAACACAACAACAAATTGATCCTTGCGGCGTCGCAAAATAAACGAAAATACTTAAATGTTTAATTAGAAGATCGAAAAGAAAAAAAGCATTGATTTTTCTGTTTGATTGTTGTTGTTTTTTGATTGTTTGCAGGCGGATATCCAACATATGGCGGTGAGCTACGAGTCCGAGGATGAGACGATGGGGAAGCTGCACGCGAGGAGTCGCAGAGGAACCGCACTGTACAGTAAACAGGACATCCTCGAGCAGTACTGCATCTCGGAGAGGGGACTCGGAGCGCTGGAGACTGATCGCCGGAGCTTCTTCAGCTGTCTCTCCTCGCACCAGATGTCCCCGTGCACCAGGTCCTCGATCCTCACGGTTTGCGTACGACAGAAGGTCCCTTCCGATGAGAATCTTCAAGATCTGTACAAGAGACCCGCAGCGTACGTCCCGTATCCGAGGAAACCGAGGTAACGAAGATCATCGAGATGCTGCGTTTTCCCATTCCCTCATCTCCTTCGGCTTAAACGACCAAAGTAATTGAGGAACGCATCCGGCGAAAACGTGCGACGCGACGCGAATCGATCGATCGAAATTCAATTACAAAACTCGTTTGCGCAACGTGTCGCTGCGGATATCGAAGTCGTCTCATATCTGCTGCACTTATTTCCATAAATTTCACGAACCAGTCAATATTTAACGAGATTACAAACCAAATTACATCTCGTATCTTCGTAAATATATAATTTAAGTGATATTTTCAATAGTCGAATTAATGTTTTTTTTTTCTACAAAAATTGATCGATTTCTCAAAAACTATGCATTACACAAAATTTATTAAATATTCACATTAAAACATAAACTTTAATTAATGCATTGCACTAAATTAACGGTTAAAATGTAAAATAATTTTCATTATTTTTTTGTTACTCAATAGGCCATGGATTTTTGTTCCATTATCAAATTGTTGCTTAGGCAACTTATATTGCTCGTTTTTATTATTTTTGTTGTGACAGTTCTTATTGACAGTTTAATATGTTGTTTCGGTAATGATTCGGCAGATGGGGTCCGCCGCCTCCGGAAATTTACAACTACGACGAGGATCTTAATAGCTCCTACTTCCGGCGGAAAGGACACACCGATGCCAGCACGTACCAATGGATGCCTTCCGACGACGAGTCTGTCCGCATGGAGAGACCCAGGTCGATACTGGACCATCACAGCCACCAGAGCGGATTACCAACTACACCTCACAGGTACGCATTACCAACCATACCAAACAAATAAACTGTAACCGCAGCTGAAACATTTGTAAAGAAAAAGTAACAAAAACAATTTTTTTTTTTACATTCGAATCGTGCTTTTAATGGTCGAAACAGTACGGGACACGAGTTTCGCATTTGCAGCTACGTAACAAAAAAGCGAATCGAACACCCACTCCCAAAAAAAACTTTGTCTTCACAAATCATAAATTTTCTCAATAACTATACACGATATAATTAAGAATGAGCAGGCAAATTAAAGCTAAATATTTGTGCTTTACAATGTGTGATCTGTCATATTTGTAACTATTGGCGTTTTCTTATAATTTACAGTCAAAGTTGAAAAATCGAGTGTCTTCACAAAATATCAATTTATTCAATAACTATATAAGATACAATTAAGAATGAGGAAGCAAATTAAAGCTGAATATGTGATCTTTCCAATGTGCGATCTGTCATATAAGAATTTGTGATCAATCATATTTGTAACTATTGGCGTTTTCCTAAAATTTACAGTCAAACTTGAAAAAACGATGTTATAAGCCTCGCAAAATCGAGTGTCTTCACAAAATATCAATTTATTCAATAACTATATAAGATACAATTAAGAATGAGCAAGCAAATTAAAACTAAATATTTGAGCTTTCCAATGTGTGATGTATCATATTTGTAGCTATTGGCGTTTTCCTATAATTTACAGTCAAACTTGAAAAAACGATGTTATAATCCTCGAAAAATCGAGTGTCTTCACAAAATATCAATTTACTCAATAACTATATAAGATACAATTAAGAATGAGCAAGCAAATTAAAGCTAAATATTTGAGCTTTGCAATGTGTAATCTGTCATATTTGTAACTATTTGCGTTTTCCTATAATTTATAGTCAAAGTTGAAAAAACGATGTTATAAGCCTCGAAAAATCGAGTGTCTTCACAAAATATCAATTTATTTAATAACAATATAAGATACAATTAAGAATGAGAAAAGAAATTAAAGCTAAATATTTGTGCTTTACAATGTGTAATATGTCATATTTGTAACTATTGGCATTTTCTTATAATTTACAATCAAAGTAGAAAAAACGATGTTATAAGCCTCGAAAAATCGAGTGTCTTTACAAAATATCAATTTATTCAATAAGTATATACGATACAATTAAAAATGAGCAATCAAATTAAAGCTAAATATTTAAGCTTTCTAATTAGTAATCTTTCATATTTGTAACTATTGGCGATTTCCTATAATTTACAGTCAAAGTTAAAAAAACGATTTTCTAAGCTTCGAAAAATCGAGTGTCTTCACAAATCATCAATTTACTCTATAACTATATACGATAGAATTAAGAATGAGGATGCAAATTAAAGCTAAATATTTGAGCTTTGCAATGTCTGATCTATCATATTTGTAACTATTGGCGTTTTCCTATAATTTACAGACAAAGTTGAAAAAACGATGTTATAAGTTTCGAAAAATCGAGTGTCTTCACAAAATATCAATTTATTCAATAACTATATAAGATACAATTAAGAATGAGTAAGCAAATTAAATCTAAATATTGGAGCTTTCCAATGTGTGATCTATCATATTTGTAACTATTGGCGTTTTCCTATGATTTACAGTCAAAATTGAAAAAACGATTGTTATAAGCCTCGAAATGTCGAGTGTCTTCACAAAATATCAATTTATTCAATAACTATATAAGATACAATTAAGAATGAGGAAGCAAATTAAAGCTAAATATTTGATCTTTGCAATGTGTAATCTGTCATATTTGTAACTATTGGCGTTTTCTTATAATTTACAGTCAAACTTGAAAAAACGATGTTATAAGCCTCGCAAAATCGAGTGTCTTCACAAAATATCAATTTATTCAATAACTATAGAAGATACAATTAAGAGTGAGGAAGCAAATTAAAGCTAAATATTTGATCTTTGCAATGTGCGATCTGTCATATTTGTAACTATTGCTGATTTCTTGTAATTCACTGTCAAAGATGAAAAAACGACCTCTGATAAATGAACGGTTTGATAACAAAATGTTTAAGTTGTTGTTGTTTTTGTAATCTATCGTGCAAACAAACAGCGTGTTGTTGATTTGTGTTGGCGGATCTTCGTTGAAACGATCATTTGACATCGTCCGCATCGGGAAATGAAAGAGTAGGAAGCAATTTTTCTTCCTTTGTGAGGTTCCTCCGGCACAATACATGTGAATGTAACTCGTTTTGTTTCGTGCACATCGTGTATTTATTCCGTGCAATAAAAGGGCAAAGGAGAAACGGATGGACGAAGTAACGTGTGTATGTGTATGTGCACTCGTATTGTCGGATCGTTAGTTCAATTTATTTCGAAAAAGGGATGGAGAGCAGAGAAGGTTTCTCGAAGGGGTTAATTAATTTTCGGGACGTCATCACCGCCGCGTTTCTCCCTTTTATGTTAATAAATTCGTTACGGCCCGTGTGTGTCGTGGCAATTACTTTGGGATCCTGCAATGTGTGCATACAACTATTATAAGCACGACCAGGTTTTCCTTCAACCGTACAAATGCGAACCTGCGCGTCCGTGCTTAATTACATTAACAATACATGAAGACATGGTAAAAACATCGCACGAAATTTCATCTCGGAAATTCCTTGCAAATTCCTTAATATTTCATTATGAAATAGAATCAAACATTCTCTATGTACTAGAAGTTTAAAACTAAATAATTCACAACTATTATTGTCCAATTTATAAACGAAATACATAGTTTAGTTTATTAGATTTTATAAAGATTTATATATATATATAGTTTGGTGACAGGAAAAGTAAGTTTTCTCTGACTCGACAAATTCAGTTTCCTTAAAGTAGGTCAACACCATTTACTTTATTATTCGCATAAAACTCGCACGTTTCACGTGTTAAATGAAGCTAAATTCTTTCAGATTAAGACTGTTAATGGATAATTTTCTATGAATAAATGTTATTCATTTAGTAATTACATATTTTTTTCATCGTATTCAATAATAGAAAATTAAATTGTTGGAAATAAGTTAAGTTTTCGTACTTAGAAAGTTTTTTTTTCTCTGAAGACGTACGAGAATATAATTTACAGTTAAAGTTGAAAAAACGATGTTATAAGACTCAAAAAATATCAATTTATTCAATAAGTACATACGATACAATTAAGAATGAACACGCAAATTAAAGCTAAATAATTGAGCTTTCCAATGTGTGATCTGTCATATTTGTAACTATTGGCGGTTTCCTATAATTTACAGTCAAAGTTGAAAAAAAGATGTTATAAGCTTCGAAAAATCGAGTGTCTTCACAAAATATCAATTTATTCAATAACTATATAAGATACAATTAAGAATGAGGAAGCAAATTAAAGCTAAATATTTGAGCTTTGTAATGTGTGATATATCATATTTGTAGCTATTGGCGTTTTCCTATAATTTACAATTAAAGTTGAAAAAACGATTTTATAAACCTCGAAAAATCGAGTGTCTTTACAAAATATCAATTTATGCAATAACTATATAATATACAATTAAGAATGAGCAAGCAAATTAAAGCTAAATATTTGAGCTTTGCAATGTGCGATCTATCATATTTGTAACTATTGGCGTTTTTCTATAATTTACAGTCAAAGTTGAAAAAACGATGTTATAATCCTCGCAAAATCGAGTGTCTTCACAAATCATCAATTTACTCAATAACTATATACGATACAATAATGAGTGAGCAATCAAATGAAAGCTGAATGTTTGTGCTTTCCAATGTGTGGTCTGTCATATTTGTAACTATTGACGTTTTTCTATAATTTACAGTCAAAGTTGAAAAAACGATGTTATAATCCTCGCAAAATCAAGTGTCTTCAAAAAATATCAATTTATTCAATAACTATATAAGATACAATTAAGCATGAGGAAGCAAATTAAAGCTAAATATTCGAGCTTTGCAATTTGTGATCTGTCATATTTGTAACTATTGGCAGTTTCCCATAATTTACAGTCAAAGTTGAAAAAAAGATGTTATAAGCTTGGAAAAATCGAGTGTCTTTACAAAATATCAATTTATGCAATAACTATATAATATACAATTAAGAATGAGCAAGCAAATTAAAGCTAAATATTTGAGCTTTGTAATGTGTGATCTATCATATTTGTAACTATTGGCGTTTTCCTATAATTTACAATCAAAGTTGAAAAAACGATATTATAAGCCTCGAAAAATCGAGTTACTTCACTATATATCAATTTATTCAATAACTATATACGATACAATTAAGAATGAGCAAGCAAATTAAACCTAAATATTTGAGCTTTGCAATGTGTTATCAGTCATATTTGTAACTATTGGCGTTTTATTATAATTTACAGTCAAAGTTGAAAAAACGATGTTGTAAGACTCAAAAAATCGAGTATCTTCAAAAAATATCAATTTATTCAATAAGTATATACGATACAATTAAGAATGAAAAGCTAAATAATTGAGCTTTCCAATGTGTGATTTGTTATATTTGTAACTATTGGCAATTTCCTATAATTTACAGTCAAATTTGAAAAAACTTCTTGTAATTCGCTGTCAAAGATGAAAAAACGACTTCTGATAAATGAACGGTTTGATAACAAAATGTTTAAGTTGTTGTTATTTTTTGTAATCTATCGTGCAAACAAACAGCGTGTTGTTGATTTGTGTTGGCTAAACTCTTTCAGATTAAGACTGTTAATGGATATTTTTCTATAAATAAATGTTATTCATTTAGTAATTACATATTTTTTCAACGTATTCAATAATAGAAAATTAAATTGTTGGAAATAAGTAAAGTTTTCGTACTTAGAAAGTTTTTTTTTCCCTCCTGAAGACGTACGAGAATAGGAGAAGGCTTTGTAACTGCTGCAGTCAGCAAAAAGCGAAGTTCACACAATAAGCTATCTCCGCTTTCACGGTGGAAACAGTTCTTATCGAGATTTATTTCAACATTTTAGATATTAAATTTACAAAATGAAGATGTATTAAAGTTATTTAGTTTATTGGGATTATGTTTCTTTCTGATTAATGTATTAATCGAGCAATTAATCGAGCTGTTCGCTGTCATTTCAATTGTTTTCTTCTCTTGTTTTCGTTTGTTTTTCTTTCAAGAAACACGTGATGATGATGGCAATCATTTGAATTGTTTTCTTTGTTGCAGGACGAAGCACGTGAGTTTCGCAAGATCGCACACGTTGACGTCCTTCGACGATGCCGTCGTCTCCTTGGGTGCTTCCGCCAGCAATCTCAGCAAATCGGCGAGGAGCCAGGAGAGGCTGATCGATACCAGAAGATCCCTGGACCGCATCATTCCGATAACCAAGCAGCCGGAATTCGCAGAGAACGTCGTCGTTATGGGTAAGTTTCTTCTCGTTTTCTATTTGTAAACTATGGCGAAACGCATTATTTATACCAGCAATATCGAACTTCTGGTGCAGGTCGATACAGCACTGGTTTTTTCCCATCTTAAACAGTTCAAAACCGCAGCAAGGAAACAAAACAATTCGGTGTCTTCACGTTTCAGTAAATATCTCAACAACCACAAATCGCAAATGCAAGTGTGAATACTTGAATGAAACATAAATATTCAGGCTTTAAGCAGAGTCTATTATTAGATTTCTATCTGTTGTCGTTTTAGTGTGATAAGCGTTCGAAAAATGATTATTTTTGTGAATATATGTGAAATAAATTGGTCGACATTATTCTCCGTAATATTATGTAAGGAAGGACGTAAATATTATAAATATATATATTTTAGATTTACTTCCCGTGCGAAAGGAAATTCCCGGTGAACGTGAACGGGCCCAAAGTTATGCGATCGTAAAAATTGTTTCCTTGAAACTACTGCTGCCACAGCCAGCCCTCGCGAAAATCTATAATAAATTTCGCACAATATAGCCTTTGTTTTTTTATTGCGCGATATTTTCACGTGTTTTTACGTAACTTTTTTCCTTGGTTTTTCTTTTTGTTGCTGTTGCAGAGAAACTGATCCGCACTCCGATGAAGACGCAGGCGACGCAGACGGAAGCGTGTCTGGGCAGAAAACCACTTCCCTCGAGTCAGATCAACCTCAGTCCGAGAACCGTGCACAGGGTGAGACGATAATGCTGTAACATCAACATTTATTTTGTTTTACCTATTGATTTATGCGTAATCGAACTGTGCACGGATAATTTGATTTACACGGGTCGAACCGTTACGGCTTTGTTTGCATCAAGTTGGCGATTTACGGGCGCGATAATGCTGTGCACTTAAATCAGGATCCATTGACTGTCCTGGCGCATCCACCAATTGTTAATCGTTCGCAAAAATAACGCAGAAATGTTTGATCATTGGAAGCTTTTTTTTTTGCAATATATCAGACGTATTGTAATGAAGTTTCGATTCGTTCGTCTAGTAGTAAAATGATGCGACGTGCGCTTTGGATGCCAATAT